ACTTTTTAATTTGCTTTTTCTATGGGCCAGGCACCGTAGAAGGTACTTTACAGGGATTATCTTATTTCATACAACAATTCTATAAGGCACACAGGTCATAGTTATCCAAATGGTGACTTATTCAATGATAAAAACTCAAAAGCTACATAAAGTACATCAAGTATATGATGACATTTAAGTCTGTATGAATATGTAGATTGAATTTCAAATTTGTATTGCTATAAAAAATCTGTTGATCTGTGGATGTTTGTATATCTACATCTGTATCTACCTATGTATATTTTTCTAATATCCAAAGCCTTTACCCAGACAGTGTTTTGTAGTTTTGTCTTATCTCCTTATTCATTTGTCCCTTCATTCAATAAATATTTAATGAACATCAGTTATATACCACTTCCTATGCTAAGTACTGAGAATACAGCAGTGAATTAGACAGCAAAGGTTATACAAGATTGTAAATCAAGCCCAGTTCTGTGAAATAAATACCACAGAATGGCATGTAAGGGGGGAGGGGATGGTTTAGATAGCGTTGTCTCGGAGGAGCTGACATTTGAGGTCATAACTGAGGACTAAGAAGTAGGCACCCATAAGAAAAATTGATAGATGAGTGTTTCCAGCACAGGGAGCAGCAAGTGCAAAGGTATGAGGCCGGAACAGCTTTGGATGTCATGGGAGACACAAAGAGATTGAATGTAAAATGTAAGGGCTGGAGAGTCACACAGGGCTGCTAGGATTCTGTGACATGTTTAGATTTTATTATAAGTGCAGTGAGAAATTAAAGAACTTTAAGCATTTATGTGTTTGTAAAAGGTCACAGTAGCTACTTTGTGGAGAATGAACTACAGAAAGTTAGAAATCTTTTTCAGAGGTCCACTCGAGAGGTGGTGGCGGCTTTTCCTGTATTTTTCTGCATAATAAACCAAACTTAAAGACTGATGCATTTTAGCCCTGGCTGTTGTGGCTCAGTGGACTCAGTGCCAGCCTGTGAACCAAAGAGCCACCAGTTCAATTCCTAGTCAGGACACATGCCTGGGTTGTAGGCCAGGTTCCCAGTAGGGGGAATACAAGAGGACCACACACTGGTGTTTCTCTCCCTTTCTTTCTCCCTCTCTTCCTCCTCTCTAAAGATAAATAAAATCTTTGAAAGAAAAAAAAGATTGATGCATTTTAGAAGGTCCTGTGCCTTCCACCATTTCTCAAATATGTCATTTTCAGGATGGACTGGGCAGTGTTAGAAGCTGGAAGGTTTTTTTTTTTTAATTCCCCTTCAGGGAATTTAGCCTCTTCATATTTGTAGATAGAGGACTATTAAAGCAAGCAACTCCAAATACAAATTCCCCATCTATCAGTGGGCAAGGTACAGAGTGTGAAGCCTTCCTGACATTGATCTTCTAATGCAACTTTGAGAATATTTAGATAACATTTCTAAGACATAAATGCTGCATAAAATATGTAGTAAATTTGCTTGAGATGTTTTAAGAGGAACAGTTGCCTGAAGTTTCCTTGCTAATAGATAAATAAAAGTCACAGATGTTCTTATTCATTTTACCAATATCAGCTTGATATGAGCCTTAGCAAATTTGTGTGACTATTGTCTACAATTATTAGATACTAGAAGGTTATTTTCCTTGGCTTGCTCAAAGGTTGTAAATAGGTTCAGGAAGTCCTGGGCTCTTGAGTCTCACTTGACAGTTACTGCACATTAGTTGGTTCTGAGTGTTGTGAGACAAGACTGGATATGTTCGGAACATGTGGGAGGCTGCCTTTCCAGGGAATCTTGCCAGATTTTTTCCACTTCTCGATTGTGTTTAAGAGGCAGCTAGAGACTGATACTGAAACTGATGTTAGTATAAATATGCTTATTAGACATTAATAATTACATATTTTTTATTTAAAGCCAACAGAATAAGCCAACTGTTTCAGTGTTTTGTTTTGCTCTGTTTTTGTTCCCTTGGAAAATGGGTTTTAGCTGACTTACAGTTTTTTTAATGGTATTTAGTGAACAGTTCAGACAGTTTATATAAAACACATTGATTGAATATTTGCTTACTACTAGTGCACCATATTTTAAAGTAATAACATTGAATATAAAGTTTTCCTCTGATAAGAAAAATCTTAGAAGTGGTACATTTCATGCAATAAAAACCTTTTTTCATCAACTATCTTAAGCTCTTACTATTTATAGTGACTATATTTTAGTAAGTATCATCACTTAGCTTTTCCCACGTGATGGTCTAACACTCAAAAAGTGTCCTGGCTGTCAGGGCCCTGTGTAGTCTTTAAGCATGTTTGGAGTAGTCCGGGTCCTCTAGCCATTCTGTTGTAGTCAGTGGAGCAGGTGAGAGAGTGTGGAGCCATGGATGTGTAAGTCCTTTGCAAAGTTCTGCAGCACTTTGTAAGATCATGTCTGACGATCTTGACCTCAGGATAAAAGTGAAAACACAGCAAAATTAATAGATTCAAAAAAAATCGTAGCTAGATGGACTCTTAGGAAATATCTAATCCACTCCCCTAGGATGGACAAAATCAGATCTGGAGTGGATGGGCGGCTTACTCAGGCTCATACTTATAAACAGGTCTCTATGGGATTATCACATGTGCTTCTGTACTGCTTCTTTCTCCTTCAGAAAAAAAAATATTAGTATAGTATTGCAGTAAGGCATAGTGGAACCAAATGAAACATTCAGTTGTAGTTTATCTTATAGTTCACACTGCAGTGAATACACACACACCCCCTTGTAAAGGAAGAAAGAGATTTATAGTGATTGCTAATTATAGTAATCATATTGATGATAAATATATTGATATGATCAAATCAGCACCCAGCCTCAATTAGACATTCAAAGACAAATGAGGAGTTGTCAAAGAGAAAAAGGAAGAAAGGAAGGGATAATGTGGGGGAAAGGGTGAAGGGTTTACAGGAACAGGTATAAAGGCCACATGGACAAAAACAGGGTGAGGGTGGAAACAGGAGGGAGGTGGGGATGTCTGGGGTGGTGGGAAGAAGGCGGTGGGGAGGAAATGCAAAAAATGTACTTGAACAACAATAAAATTCAAAAGTACTTAATAAAAAAATTTTTTAAAGAATGAGAGTTGCAAGAGATCCTGAGGCCAAAGTGCTAAGGCTATGGAGATTTTGGGCACAGAAAGTGGCAGAGCCATCCTAAGGCCATGGTTCCAGGCTCAGTCAAGACCTGCTGATGGCCGAGTACTAACCAGCAATGGGTAGAGATGCTGTGCCTGCAGGTAGTGGAAAACAGTGTTTCTAGTCACTGTGTGTAATACAGATGTATTACATGTGACTGCATGGGCTGTCAGGTGAAGAAAGGCCTTGGACTCAGTCTAGTTTTGCCTCTTGATGCCTAGCTATTAAAACATCACTCAGTACTGCATGATTCTCTTCACCTGTAAACAGGGAAGAGGTTGGGATCTTCAGAGTTCCATCCAATATAGAAGTGCTCTGTGTCCCTAAGGATAATGAATTAAAAAGTTACTGCACTTAAAAATGTATTTATTTAAGTTTGCTCAAAAAGTACAAACTTTTACTGTTTCTTTTTTGTTACTTTAGGGGTTTTTTTTCTCTCTAATAGAAAGGCCTTATTTATTACATTTAAAGAGTTCTGACTTTTTCTTAATTACACATTCCTGCAGTCGCATCACTGCTCAGTCCCACAGCTTGGAGTGAAGTCCTGCCCCTGAGCAGTAGCACCTCACTTGCACAGTGCTCCCCAGAGCACTGTGGTAGTTACCTTTAGAAATGGGTCTGCAACACTGTCTTGGCAATGGGGCACCAGCTCCCAAGTTCATGTTTATTGTTAATCTGCACATGCATGCTTTAAAAGGGACTCTCATAAATCTTTGAATCTCCCTCTCTTCCATTGGCCAAAAAGTCTGTATGATTTTTTTCTGTAAAATAAAGACACATTTTTCATTTTCACCAATAACTTTATTGATTTGGATATTTTGAGTATATTAGCTGTCTCCCTCATGGTATAATGTTGATTGTTGTCAGTTAACATCTCTATTTGATCACTGTCAACTTCAACTGGTCTGCCCGACCATGGAGCATCATCCAGCAAGAGCTCTCCAGCAAACTTCGCAAACGACATTGGATACGTTCCATCAGTCGCAACACCTTCTCCATATACTGCACAAATTTTTTTTGTATTGCAGTTGTGTTTTTACCTTTCTTCAAATAATAAAGCATAATATACCCAAAATGTTGCTTATTTTCTTCCACCTTCAATATTAAAATGGCTACACAGAAATTCACCAATTTTGATAATATTTTTAAAGGCATGCTTGCCCTGGCTGGTGTAGCTCAGTGGATTGAGCGCAGGTCTGCGAACCAGACAATCACGGTTTGATTCCCAATCAGGGCACATGCCTGGGTTGCGGGCTGGTTCCCTGCAGGCCAGTCAGTTCTCAGCAGGGGATGCACGAAAGGCAACCATACATTGATGTTTCTCTCCCTCTCTCCTTCCCTTCCCCTCTAAAGATAAGCAAATAAAATCTTTAAAAAATAATAAAATAAAAATAAATAAAGGCATGCTGGCAATATAATGACAGCTGTCACAATGCAGTCTAACAAAATTGTTTTGAATAATTTAAAGACAACTAAGCATGACTAGAGCCATCTAATGGAAAAAACAAATATATATATTTTGGCCAACCCAATACAGTACTTAGACATTCATTTGAAAAATAAAGACCTTTTTTTCTGTTTTACATACTTATACCCAGTGTACTAGTTTGTCTTTTGATTTTTTACACTAATCTATTATATTATACATTTTTCTTCTGATTTTATTTCACAAGGATATTCTAATGAAATTAATTTGGCATCTTATCAGTTTGGCTTGCTCTGTCTGTTTAAAGGGACCACATGAAGTTAAACTTTTAAAGTTCTGATTCTGATTTACTTTTCCAGTACACTTTCCAGTGTAATGTAACTGAGCCATTAGACTAAAACAATGCTATCTATATTTTTCTCTTTACAGAGTGTCCGACCCACACCCCAAAATGATGCTATAATGGTACACTTTAAAGCAATTACCTTAAAAGCTTCAGAAAGTAAATATACCAAAGTTGCAAGTATTAGTTTTGATGGTAAGTATTCAACTTTTTCTAATACAGTGCTCTTATTTTGATAAACTAACTAGAAGGTCTCTGTGTCAACATCTTAATATAGAAATCCTAACCATTTTATAGTCAGATTTTATGTTACTGCTTAGGTTGGGTTTTTTTGTAAAATATCAAGAACTATTTAACTGTTTTATGAAAGAAAATAACTTTATACACCTAAACTAATTTTGGCAAGTACAGTAAGAATGGAATTACATTTTTGTAATCTGGGCTCTATGGAATTACATTTTTGTAATCTGGGCTCTTCCACATATATTCCCATTATGCTTTGTCTTAATTATGAAGTCATTAATTTTTGTAGTTGGGTAATAATTTATTTGAACTTCAGAAACATGTTTGAATTTGAGAGCAGAAATATTCTTTTTAACATTTGCATATATTGGCTTTTCTGAGCAAGGCAGACAGTCCTGCCTAAGCTAAAATAATAACCTTAACAATAGAATTATTATACTGTATATTTTGACACTTGAAATATTAACTCAGCCCAGACTTTAACATGTTTAAATAGCACATTTTATTGATTTTGCTCACTTTAGTGGAATACTTACTGAATTTGCTATCACAAGATTTTTCAAATAGTGACTTTATAGCTGCTTAACTCTCTGTGATTAAATTAAATAAGAGCTGAAACTGCAAATGGGGCTTGTGTCACTGGGGCCTGTGCAAGTGAGGGGCCCTGAAGCTTAAACTTGGGCTTTCTGACAAAGCCATCTCTGCACATACTCCACATTGGACACTGAAGCTCCTCATCAGATGAGAGAACTTGCTCACCGATGGCCTCCTACGTGCGACAGAACACCAGAACTCTGCACAGTACAGCTTGCACATGGAGAATTCTTAGGAGGGTCTGGAGCAACTGCACAGGGTGGGCACCAGCTTCAGTCTTCATCCCAGGAGCTCAGAGAAAACTCCAGAGGGAATCAATATGAAATATATGGCATATTGTCATAATCCAGCTGTCAACTAGGCTTGTAGAGGGTTTTGATGCCACAGTTATTTCCAAGATTGTGATAAACTGTCTGTTCTTAAGATACCACAGTCGTGACCACCAGTGTCAAAATCAGCAGATGCATTCTCTTTTCTTACCAAGAAAGAAAGCAGCCAATAGTAATTCCTGACCCTTGAGTTAGTACCCACCCTACTGATAAGTCCAAGGAATGGGGGGGGTGCGCAGCAAGTCAGTGCTATCCTGGCCTCCCATGCTCTTCTCCTCAAGCTCCTGGACTGAAAATTTAGTGAATGTTTCTATTCATGAGATGAATGACTGTCAGTAATGTTGGTTCTTCTGAGGTCATAGACTCTAATTAAAATAAGTGCTTCTTAAGGAAATTAGGTAAAATTAAATACACAGGGAAAGCATTTTTAAAGCAAGTACTATGTATCTTGAAGTCTTTTTTGTCTCATATAAGTATTGCTACTCCACCTTTGTTTGTTTCCATATGCATGAAACTTTTTCCATCTTTTTACTTTCAGTCTGTGTGTCTTTTGTTCTGAGGTGGGTTTCTTGTAGACAATATATATATATGGATCTTGTCTTATCTATTCAGCTACCCTATGTCTTTCGATTGGAGCATTTAATCATGTCTATTGGCCATCTGTATGCTCTCTGAAGAGGTGCCTATTTAGGTCTTCCTGCGCATATTTTACTTGGATGTTTGGTTTTTTGTGTATTGAGTTGTGTCAGGTTTTTTTTTCTTTTAAGTAGAACTTATTTTTTATTAATTTTTAGAAGATCTTATTTATTTATTTTTAGAGAAAAGGGAAAGGAAGGAGAAAGAGAGGGAGAGAGAGATCAGTGTGTGGTTGTCTCTTGCATGCCCCCTACTGGTTCTCAACCCAGGCATGTGCCTTGACTGGGAATCAAACCTGCAGCCTTTGCTTCCCAGGTTAGGGAAGCAAAGTTAGCTCAGTGTTCAATCCACTGAGCTACACTAGCCAGGACTCAGTTTTTTATGTATTTTAGATATTAGCCACTTATCAGATGTATCACTGGTAAATATCTTCTCCCATTCAATAGGTTCCTGTGCTGTGAGAAATTTTTTAGTTTGATGTCCTATTTATTTTTTTGTTTTCCTTGCCTGAGAAGAAATATCAGAAAAAATATTGCTACGACAGATGTCAAGAGATTTTACTGTCTATGTTTTTTTCAGGAGTTTTATGGTCTCAAGTCTTACATTTAAGTCTTTAGTTCATTTTGAGTTTTTAGTGTAGTATAAGATGGTCTAGATTCACTTTTTTGCATTTATTTGTCCAATTTTCCCAATACCATTTATTGAATACACTGTCTTTACCCCATTATATGTTCTTGCCTACTTTGTCAAGTATTAATTGACCACATAAGTGTAGGTGTATTTCTGGGCTATTCTGTTCCATAGATTTATATGTCTGTTTTTATGCCAGTACCATGCTGTTTTGATTACTGTGGCTTTGTAGTATAATTTGATATCATGTAGCGTGATAGCTCCAACCATGTTGTTCTTCCTCAAGGTTACTGTGGTTATTCGAGATCTTTTGTGGTTCCATATACATTTTCAGATTATTTGTTCTATCTAGTTCTGTAAAATATGCCATTGGTATTTTGATAGGAATTGCATGGAATCTGTAGATTGCTTTGGGTAGCATGGAAATTTTAATATTAATTCTTCCTAGCCATGAGCACACTATATGCTTCTATTTATTTGTATCTTCTTTAATTTCTTTCTTCCCTGTCTTACAATTTTCTGAGTGCAGGTATTTTGCTTCCTTGATTAAATTTATTCCTAGGTATTTTGTTTTATTTTTTTGATGCAGTGGTAAGTGGGATTGTTTTTTTAGTTTCTTTCTCTGGTAGTTCATTGTTAGTATTTAAAAATGAAATTGATTTTTTAATATTAAGGTCATGCCCTGCTACTTTAGTGAATTCATTTATCAGTTCTAGTAGTTTTTTGGTGGCATCTTTAGGGTTCTCTATATAAAGTATCATGTCATCTGCAAGTAATGACGGTTTTACTTTCTCCTTTCCAATTTGAATGCCTTTTATTTGTTCTTCTTTTCCAATTGCTGTGGCTAGGACATCCAATACTATGTGTATAAGAGTGATGAAGCAGACATCCCTGTCTTGTTCCTGAACTTAAGGAAAATACTTTTAGTTTCTCTGCATTGAGTTTGATGTTATCAATGGGTTTGTCAAATACAGCCTTTGTTACGTTGAGGTATGTTCTCCCTATTTCCACTTTGCTGAGAGTTTTTATCATAAATGGGTGCTGGATTTTGTCAGATGCTTTGTCTGCATCTGTTAAATGTGATCGTATGGTTTTTGTCCTTCATTCTGTTTATATGATGTATCATGTTAATCATGATTTTCAGGTATTGTACTAACCTTGTATTCTAGGAATAAATCCCACTTGATCATCATGTATGATCTTTTAAATGTATTACTGAATTCCATTTACTAATCTTTTGTTGAAAATTTTAGCATATATGTTCATCAGGGATATTAGCCTAAATGTTCTTTCTTTGTAGTATCTTTATTTGGTTTTGGAATTAGGATAATGCTTGTCTGGTAAAATGAGCTTGGGAGTCTTCCCTTCTCTAGAATTTTTGGGACTAGTTTGAGAAGGATAGGTATTAGTTATTGGAATGCTTGGTAAAATTTACCTCTGAAGCCCTCCAATCTAGGATTTTTATGGAAAGTTTTTGATTACTTCTATTGCATTAGTTGTAATTTGTTCAAATTTTTTGTTTCTTCTCGATTCAGTTTTAGAAGATTATGTGTTTCTGGGAATATGTCTCTTTCTTCCAAATTGTCCAGTTTGTTGGCATATAGTTGCTCAGAACATTTCTGGATAATCTTTGTTAATTTTTGTGCTAACAGGTGTTACTTCTCCTATTTTATTTCTAATTTATTGGGTCCTCTCTCTTTTTTTCTTGATGAGTTTGGTTAAAGGTTTATCTATCTTATTTATTTTTTCAAAGAACCAGCTCTTGCTTTTATTGATCTTTTGTATTTTTTTAGATTATTTCATTTATTTCTGCTTTGATCTTTATTATTTCCTTCCTTCTATTCATAGAAACTAGAAACTTTTTCTAGTTTCTTTAGGTGTAAAGTTAGATTGTTTTAAGATTTTTCTTATTTCTTTTTTTTTATTTATTTTATTGATTATGCCATTACAGTTGTCCTATTCCCCCTTTCATTCCCCTCTACCCTGCACACCCCTCCCCCACCATCCCCCCTTTCCTTTATGTCCATGTGTCACAAGTTCTTTAGATTCTATATTTCCCGTATTATTCTTGCCCTCCCCCTGTCTATTTTCTATCTACCATCTATGCTACTTACTCTCTGTACCTTTTCCCCCTTCTCCTCTTCCCACTCCCCTGTTGCTAACCCTCCATGTGATCTCCATTTCTGTGGTTCCACTCCTGATCCTCCTGTCCTCTTAGTTTGCTTTTGTTTTAGGTGTGGTTGTTAATAACTGTGAGTTTGCTGTCCTTTCAGTGTTCGTATTTATTATCTTCTTTTTCTTAGATAAGTCCCTTTAACATTTCATATAATAAGGGCTTGGTGATGATGAACTTGACCTTATCTGAGAAGCAGTTTATCTGCCCTTCCATTCTAAATGAAAGCTTTGCTGGATAGAGCAATCTTGGATGTAGGTCTTTGGATTTCATGACTTGGAATACTTCCTTCTAGCCCCTTCTTGCCTGTAAGGTGTCTTTTGAGAAATCTGCTGACAGTCTGATGAGAACTCCTTTGTAGGTGACTGTCCCCTTATCTCTTGCTGCTCCTATCCCTAGGATTCTCTTCTTCATTTGAATCTTGGCTAATGTAATGATGATATGCCTTGGTGTGTTCCTTCTTGGGTCCAACTTCTTTGGGATTCTCTGAGCTTCCTGGATTTCCCGGAAGTCTATCTCCTTGGCCAGATTGGGAAGTTCTTCTTTATTATTTGTTCAAATAACTTTTCCACTTGTGGCTGTTCCTCTCCCCCTTCTGGTACCCCTATAATTTGGATGTTGAAATGTTTAAAGATTTCCTGGAGGTTCCTAAACCTCTCCTCATTTTTCTGTATTCTTATTTCTTCATATTTTTCTGTTTGGTCATTTTTTTCTTCCTTCTGATCCTCTCCCTTGATTTGAGTCCCAGTTTTCTTTCCATCACTATTGATTTCCTGTGCATTTCCCTTCATTTCAATTAGTTCAGCTTTCATATGTTCCTCTAATTTGTGACTAAAATCAACCAGTTTTGTGAGCATCCTGATCACCAGTGTTTTGAACTGTGCATCTGAAAGTTTGGCTATTTCTTCATCACTTAGATTTATTGCCTCTGGGGCTTTAAGCTGTTCTTGAGCCATAATGTTTTGGTCTGTTCGCACCTGTTATGTATGAGGGGCAGAGCCTTGGGTATTCACCGGGGTGGGGCAACCCAGGTTGCTGGGTTGTGATGCTGTATGTGGGGGCGGGGTCAGAGAGGGGCAGTGGCATTTGTTCTGCTCTCTCTCGGATTTCGGTCTCCTCTGCCACTTTCCATAAGCAAATTGGGCCCTTTTAGTGCTGGTTCTCAGGTGTGTGGGCTTATGCACCCTCCAGGACCCTGTGGGTCTCTCCAACAAACTCTCTGTGAGCCTGGGAGCTTCTCCTGGCACCTCGACCCCAAAAGTCTTTCCAATTGGTACTTTCAGGTTTTAATTCCCGTTGCTGGGGCCCTAGCCTGAGTGGTCTGTCTCACTGCTTGCTCCTTTGCTTGGTTTATCTGTGCGGGAATGTGTGACATGTGACAGCTGTCAGCCAGCCGCCTTGCGCCCTCACTGGGTCCGCCCGCCTGGGATCTGCCAACCGCAGCCTGTGCTCCTGCGCTCCCCTGCACTCTGGAGCTCCTGCGTTGGTCTGGCTGATCTTTCCTGCCCAACCCTGCTCTGCCGCTGACTCCGCCCCTCTTACCAGTCTGGATGAATGGTTAGTTGTTGTCAGACTTCCATATAGTTCAATTTTCTGTGTTTTGGCTGCGTTTTTGTTACTAAAACTTTGTTGTCTTTAAACTTGGTTGTGTGAGGAGGCACAGTGTATCCACCTATGCCTCCGTCTTGGCCGGAAGTCAGATTTTTCTTATTTCTTGAGGTAGGCCTGTAATGCTATGAATTTTCTTCTTAGGACTGTTTTCACTGTGTCCTGTAAGTTTAGTTTTGTTGTATTTTTATTTTCATTTGTCTGAAGGTATCTTCTGATTTCTTCATTGATCTTATTGTTAGCCCACTCATTGTTTAGTGACATGTTATTTAGCCTTCATGTGTTTGTGTATTTCAGTTTTTTTATTTTAATTGATTTCTAGTTTCATAATATTGTGATTAGAGAAGATGCTTGATATGATTTCAATCTTCTCTCATTTATTGAGACTTGTTTTATGTCCTAACATGTCTGCCCTGGAAAATGTTCCATGTGCACTTGAAAAAAATGTATATTCTGCTGCTTTGGGGTAAAATGCTCTGAAAAATATCAGTTAAATCTGGTCTGGTGTGTCATTCGGGGCTTCTGTTTCCTTGATTTTCTGTCTGATCTTTCCATTGAAGTCAGTGGGGTCTTAAAATCTTCTACAACGCCTGTTACTGTTAATCTCTCCCTATATGTCCACCAATATTTGTTTTATACATTTAGATGCTCCTGTGTTGAGTACATAAAATTTATAAGGACTTACCCTGTTTTTGGATTGATCCCTTTATCAGTATGCAGTGTCCTTATTTGCCTCTTATTATAACCTTTGTTTTAAAGTCTGTTTTGTCTGATACAGGTATTGCTTCTCAAGTGCTACATTTCTTAAAAGTAGTTTTTATTATCATGGAACAATCCTGCCACCTTTCACATCCCATTCTACCTCCACCACCCCGGATCCCAAACACAAAAATACCACTGGGATTGCTGTGACAATCAATAGGAAATGTGTGCTTTATTTAACTTCTTAATATTTTCAGAATATACCATATATATTAACTCTACAAGCAAGCATCTTTCTCATTGGGTCATTATTCTTTAAGGTTTTACCTGAATTTTCTTGAGGTTTTTGAAAACTTTCTTAAAATACTATGAAATGCTTTCATTATGGTCCTTGTGATCAGCTTTACATCAGAATAAATAGTGAAAACTAAAAGCATGCAGAAGTGGTTAAAACAGCAAATGAAGAAATGAGGTTAATGAAGATTTTAGAAACCTAGTCATCATCTGTACTCAGCCACACACTAGATATCTTCCTTTTTTTTTTTTTGCATTTTTTTTGTGCCAATGTTGGATATCCAACACCCATTTGCAGAGTCCACATGTAAATTCTCCTAAGTGGAAGTCTACCTGAAGTATTTTAAAGGAGATAAAGATAAACAGCTTCTTTATTTGCTTTGAAGGGAGTATCCTTATGGGTACCCAAATTGGATCCAACTAAAACTATTTCTGTAATTCCAATGAAAATTACACAGAACTGCTGTAGGATTTAAAGGTTTTACTTCATCTGTGAGGCCAGTATGATGGCAGAGAAATAATGCCTCCTCTTACTACTGTCAGTTAGGGTTGGCCAACATAAGAAGTTAGAGCTCAAAACTCTACTTGACTTGTATTTATAGCAAGACTCTGGTCACACAATTAATGTTTCTTTCTCAGTGTGGCTGTAAACCAGTGGTTCAGTGAGGGGCAGTTTTGCTCCCAGGGACATTTGGCAGTGTTTGCAGACATTCTTGATTGTCACAGCTGGGGATGCTACTGATACCTAGCAAGTAGAGGAAGTTTAGCAAGTAGGATGCTGCTAAACTTCCTACAGCACTCAGGACAGCCACCCTACCCCACAACAAAGTACTACTCTGGCATAAAATGTCAGTGGTGCCAAGGCTAAGAAACCCTGCTATAAATGTAAGCAAAGCAAAAGCTTATGGCTATATAGAAGTAGCTCAAATAAAGTGGTTTTTCTCCTGAATTATGTCCATGCTAATTCCTTGTTTGTCCCATTACAGCAAATTAAAACATTATTCCTTTTTTTCTATGAAAAGTGTGATATTTGATTTAAAATGTTGTAAAACTATTCTGCTTATCAATTTGAAAGCTCAGCTTTGCCTTTAAGGTATTTTCAGTCCACATAGCCACTCTCACACTTCTCTGTATGAAGTTGACAGATTTTTATGTGTGTTTGTATCTGTATTTACTTTCAGCATCAAAGGCAAAAAAACCATCTCAGTTTTCTGGGAAAATCACCGTTAAAGCAAAGGAAAAGAGTTATTCTAAACTAGAGATACCATATCAAGCAGAAGTATTAGATGGGTGAGTTTGTCTTGAAATAAGCTTTGCTATTTTTTACTAATCAGTAAGTTCTATTTTCCTGCCAACTGACTTGAGCAAAAAAGTAATAGCCAAATTCACATAAACTCCAAGGAATTGTTGAAAAGAATGACTTAAATTATTAAGGGGAAAGTCTCCTATATTTTGTTTATATTTTACTTAGAAGAAAAAAGTAAATGGGATGATGTGCTTTGGGCTTAAAATGAAGTTTTGATGACTCAGTAACACAGCAGTAAATGAATCTATAAATCATTTGAACCATTTCCTTTCTGTAAATTCCTTGTGTAACCTGGAAGTGGTTGTGGTTTGTTAGTAAAATATATTGTCAGTTGAAATAAAATCATTTATATTTCCTTATAAACTCGTATTCACTGCTCTCGAATTAAAACTTTTTATAAATGGTCAATAATATGTGTAGTTCATTTTCTGATTATACAGCAACCCAGCAATTTTCAACCTTTTTATCTCATGGCATAGGTGAACTAATTATTAAAATTCTACAACACACTAAATAATGTATTTTTTGCTGATATAACAAAAAATAGGTGTAATTTTTATTCATTCGCACCAGACGGCTATTGTGTTGTCAGTTGTCTTTTTCTTAATTTGAGAATCTGAGGGAAAAGAGGTCAGTTTCTTGACTAAATAGTTAGGTGATGCATGTTTTAAAAGTTTTTTTGCAGCATACAGTTTGCAAATCACTGCTATAACCAATAATAGCTTAATATCCAACCTGGTAGAGACAAGCTGGTTGCAATTGAAGGATAAACTTTTTAAGTAGCTTGCAACTCTTTCTGTTAATATATTCTTGGTTTTAATTTTTCAATTATATATAATTTAATAGAGAATAGTTCTTTATATTCCATGTTAATATTTTGCAAGTTAAATTTTGTTTTAAATCATGTGGTCAATCAGTAAAATATTTAGAGTTCTAATTCTCTAATAACAGTCCTTAGTGCTAAACATAAATTATCACAGCAAGAGAATTTGGATTTTAAGTTAACAGATAGAAATAAAATTATTTATGTTTTTTGTTTTTTCAAACAGTTATTTGGGATTTGATCATGCTGCAACATTGTTTCACATCCGAGACAGTCCTTCTGATCCTGTGGAAAGGCCAATTTACCTTACTAACACTTTCAGGTTCGCGATCCTCATTCATGATGTGTTGCTACCAGAAGAAGCCAAAACAATGTTTAAAGTATGTGTGGGACCCCTCATACTTTTAACTTCATTGATCTACCAGCTTGGAGATGCTAACACAGTTTTTCCTCTCCCATTGTTTTCTAGGTTCACAACTTCAGCAAACCAGTTTTAATTCTTCCAAATGAATCAGGATACATTTTTACTTTGTTTTTTATGCCATCCACATCATCCGTGCACATAGATAACAACATTTTACTTATTACTAATGCCTCTAAATTTCATTTGCCTGTGCGGGTATATACAGGCTTTTTAGATGTAAGTATGTTTATCTACCTTTAAAATTTAAACTCCCACCCATCTTATGTGTTTCAAGTATCATTAGGCAATCATTATTAGGCACCTTTGCATTTTGCCATCTTCTGTTTTTTACAAGTAGGTCTACTTCCCCCCAGTCTGTACTTTCAGGATGATGACTAGTCTTCACTCTTCCCAGCAGCTGTCTCCCCTCATGATACAGTTGAATCCTCTAGTTCTTTCCACGTTCTTTCTCTTGATCTTGCTTTTAAACTGTTACAATCATGGGGAAGTTAAAAACAAACAAAATAGGAAAAAATCATAATCAGGAATAAAATAACAGGAGGTTGAAGAGGGAAGTATGTAGGGAAGAAACCAGGCAGTATCAGGATGAAGAGTCAAATAATCAAGAAGAGAGGGAGGTGGTAAAGACTCATGGTTGGAATGAATAGTAATCTAAACAGACAGGAAGAGCAAAGGTCTCAGACCTTAGTACAGAAAATAAGCCTGAGGAAAATCAAAAAAATATATCCTCAGAGTAGTCAATGAAAAAGTTTATATGAGAAATGAAACTGACAGGAAGGATAAAAAGAAAATGAAAACGTAGAAATGTAGTTCTCCAAAAAGCCAGCATCAGTAAGAATATTAGGGCTACAGGGACCTTCATGTTATCCTGCTCCTTCATCATGTGTTTGGTTTAAATGATTATGTATTTGTAGCTACTGTCATGATGCATAGTGTTTACTGAAACCTAGGACTTTCTGCCTCCTATTCAAGGACTCCCTCCATGTTCTCCCTCACTTTCTGCTTTTTTTATGTGCCTTCAGAGGAGAAAAAGCTGTTCAATAAAGACCATGAGTGTTTTCATTTTGATTTCTTAAAATAATTATATTTTATATGTGTGTATGTGTATATTTACATGAAATAAAGAAGCCTTAGAATATCTTAATATAGTCACTTTATAACATTCTCTTACATAAGTTTGATTTTACATTTAATTTAGTTCTTTTATATCTTTTCAGTATTTTGTATTACCCCCCAGAATAGAGGAACGTTTCATAGATTTTGGCATACTGAGTGCGACAGAAGCAAGTAATATTTTATTTGCAATTATAAACAGCAATCCAATCGAGGTAAAAAAAAAACTGTTTTTATTCTAAATCACATTTAAGGATTTTATTCAAGTGCTGTAATAATCACCTCCATATCTTTCTCTTTTTTAAGTTGGCTATAAAAAGTTGGTACATCATAGGAGATGGTTTATCAATAGAACTTGTTGCTACTGAAAGAGGCAATAAAACAACAATAATTTCAAGCCTTCCAGACTTAGAAAAAGCCTCTTTATCAGACCAGTCACCAGTAAGTAACCCTTCTTACTATTTCCTAAAACGTAGATATATGTCCAAATACAGAGTGAAAGACGGTTGTCATGTCACACACTTCAACTCCTATTTTTATGGAATTCGTAATAGCAGTGGTGGTTTTGTGTTAAAAGGATCATCTGTTGTCTTGTAGGTCATCTATTTCAAACCCCTCCCTTTATGATAAATTTTACTTTAGACTCAAAAGGTATTAAAGTTCTACCTTGTCATAAGAAGTTCTGTAACAAGCAGAATTTAAACTATCCTTTTATAATGTATACAAGTGTCATTACAGGGCACATTGGTACTAAATTAACCCTGTGTTCATTGAATTTACTGGGCAAAAGAGATATCCCTGAACAACAGGAGAAAGTGTCTTCAATTACACAGTAGTATTTCTGGCCAATTTTATGCACTGATTAGAAAAGTTCAATGAGGTGAACACTGTTTGATCCCTGCCCATGTGCTTTTTTCTGACTTACAAATATGGAAAGCTGGTTATAAAAGCACAAAACAAAAGAAAGTGTGTACAGTATCAGTCTTTCCCCTCCCCACTGCTGAGAAAGAAACTAGAAGTTTACAGTTACTCACAACAGAATTAGAATCCCCTCTCATGAAAAGGACCATAACTTACCTCCTCTGTACATTAGGGGAGAACTTCTTGCAGCAATTTTACAAAGGAAAATCAGATGTCCTAATGCAAAAATTGATGACAGATATACTTCCATGGAATGCCATAGGTTATAAAACTGATTTAGAAACAGTTTACACTGGAAAGATTCCCCAAAACAGTATCTTGGAGGAGAGTTTAGTGATATGTACCACTCCTAGGAATTCTCTCCATGGAAGGAACTTAAGAGCCAAAAGCTGTAAGAATGAAGCTGTTTATAATAGTACTGTTAATGACTCCAAGTAACAGGAAATAGCCAGGTGCCTAAAGAAAATCATGACTTTATGATTTACTACTAAAGCAAATAAAAAGTTATAAATATGATAGTGTGTAGAAACCTGGAAAAGAATTTATGAACATGTAGGAAAGTACTGAATAATGTATTCTAATTGTGTCTGTGTAGGATTCAAACTACATAATTAGATATTTCTGAATAATGGTAGATTTATAGGTATTTAAATTTTAATAATTTATTGTTTTAAATTTGATTCAGAAATACTCTATTTAAAACAAAAAATAGATACACCCATAAGAAGTAATATTTGTCACTCCACCTGAAATTTTTAATAAAAATAAAATGCTGCAGAAATAATAATGAGGCCAGCCATAATATGTTCCTTCCAACAATAAAGTTAGAGTAAAATCATGTGTGTCTAATCCTAGATGGTTGAATCATAGTGTTTCCTAATAAAACATTATAAATTATTTTAGAAATTTAGGGATCATTTCCTAGCAGGAAATAGCATGTATAACATACACTTTAAATTTAAGAGATCCATTTAATAACATAAAGCCTGTTTGACAATTTAGGGTTTTAGAGTTCATTCTTATATAAAACTATAAATACAAAAACAAGGGACAGAAAGATGAGATCATTGTTATGAACAGTTACTTAAAATAGGAAGTTATGATAAGGAGAACTTCAAAACAGAAACTCCACAAATTTTCTAAAGTTTGTAATACCTGTACAAACTTAGCTTCTTTATAAAAGGCAAACCTATGAACTAAATTTGCATTCTGTTCTGTGTGAAACACACGTTGCAAGCAACTCTCTGTGCTCTTCAGACCTGTGTTCTGACTTGGGTAGTTACAGAATCACAATGGAAGCATTAGAATTACAAAAAAAAAAAAAACCCACAAAATGCTTCTAAAAAAGGGAAAGCGAGTATGTTCAGTCTATCAACATTTGTTATTTTGATATAAATGTGAATTCTAGATAAAATACAACTAGTAAAATCTAAGACACAGCTTCACAAAGTAAATTTTATGGGTTATTTTCTTGAAATTTCACAACCTCAAAGATTAAGTGCCAGAAACATCAGCAAATAGTTTGAGTAAACAAATAAGGTCCCCATTCTTCTTTCTTATCTGTATTGCTTAACTGTTCCTTTCCATGATATTTGATGTTTCCATGTAACCCAATCTCATTTGCTCTGAAGATATGATTGTTAACATGACCAAGTTAAATTCAGAACTTGAAGCAGAACCAAGCAGTATATACTTTGTATACACTTGTACCCTAATGTGGCTGAAGGGTTGGTGAAAGGCTGTGTCCCTCTGCTCCCATCCTCATCCTTTTTGTCCATGCAGGTACATGGGTGGTACCTGAGAACCATATCCTGACCTACCTTGTCAGCTGGGACTCCTCTGTTCCTCAAGGAACCAGTTTTCTTGGTGGCACATTGAATAAGTGTAGATAAACAGCCAGGGACAGGCATTGTTTTGAGATATTTGTATATGATGGTAACTTGGTATCATCCTTGTACATGTTTAGGGTTCAGAAGTCAGTTTATCATTGTAGCCTTTTCTATTGTAGTAGAACTTCAACTAGCAGGCTAGTGAATGATCATTTCTGCTACATACAGGTGATACTGGCTTCAGGCTGTTTTGCAGTGTTCAGAGTCAGGCTTACTGCAAAAAAACTGGAAGGGATTCATGATGGAGCCATACAGATCACAACAGATTATGAGGTAAGGACTTTATGGGTGTTTTTTGAATAAATCGGTTTTTTGTTTGTTTTTATAGAAATAGCACTAAGTTTACTCATAAACTTACAGTTTACCTGTTTTATATCTTAAAAACTGAGCTTTTGCCCCAACTGGTGTGGCTCCATTGTTTGGGCATCAATCCCACAAAGCAAAAAGGTCACCAGTTTAATTCCCAGTCAGGGCACATGCCTGAGTTGGGGCCTGGTTCCCTGGTGAGAGTGTGTGCAAGAGGCAACGGGTCAGTGTCTCCCGCACCCATCAGTGTTTCTCTTCCTCTCTTTCGCCCTCCCTTCCTTTTCTCCCTTTTAAAAATACTATGTATTTAAAAGTAAATACATAGTATCTTTAAAAAAAAAAAAACAACTGAACTTTTGAGACTAGTTTATAGACTATTGGTCTTCTGATAAAACCCAAATCTCTTAACCAAAAATCTTTTAAAAAATAAAAAATGCTTCGGGCACATTTTGAATTGCTGTGTTAGAACCCTGCTTACCAGTGGTTATAGCATTGCAGAGACCCTGTCTGAAATTAATGAGTTAGATTCTGTCTCTGATTCTTTTCTGTAATTATAGCTGTCCTTCCTGTAACATTTCTGAAAAGGAAGATAGTCAGGAAATCACATGAGTCCTAAGTCAGAGACAAAATGGTCGTTGAGCTTTGTAAAACCTCTGTGGCATTTGGCATGTTGCTCTTGGTGAGATTTTGAATGTATGTATTTCTGCCAAACCCAAATATTTTAATTTAATGTTGAAGAGCTCTTTGGGAAATTTTGCACTACAGTTCATCGTATTGCTACCCTTGTTCTCCTGCCTGTTTTCATCACATACAATCACACATGAAAGAAAACTAATTCAGAATAAACAGAATTGATTAACAATAAATGATTTGTTGGGAGAATATTAAATTGAATCTATAGAATTCATGTTTATCACTCATGGAAATAAGTATATTTTGTGGGTAAGAAAGAAAAGTTTTTGTTAATATGGACGAAAATGAAAATTAGGAAAAAAATCTTAGAGAAGTATCTTTGTGAGTCACAAATGAGTGAATTAAGAGTTAACTCATTTTAGCCCTGGCTGGTGTAGCTCAGTGGATTGAGCACAGGCCTGTGAAGCAAAGGGTCGCTGGTTCGATTCCCAGTCAGGGCACATGCCTGGATTGTGAGCCAGGTCCCCAGAGGGGACCATGTGAGAGGCAACCACACATTAATGTTTCTGTCCTACTCTTTCTCCTTCCCTTCCCCTCTCTCTAAATATAAATAAATATTTTTTTTAAAGAGTCAACTCATTTTTTATATTAGATTGGGTTAATTATATACACAAAAAATATATAACTGGAAAATACTGGATGTTTCATATTGTTTTAGGGGTACAATGTGGCTTTTTAAATTATCTACAAAATAACTTGTATTATGAAAAAAAAAACCTATTCTTTATTCCCCATTGTTTGGTCTCGTTTACCATGTTTTCAGTGAGTCACTGAGAAGTACACAGAAATTTGTTGTATTTCAGTGCATTTATGGAGTACGTTGGTCAGATTAAACAGTTTCTGTGGGTGATTTTAATATTGCTGAAGAGTTGGTTATTAATGTAAGTCCCAAAATGAGGTTTTTTAACCCCAAAACATAATGCTATTAACAGTCAAGATCAATGTTGAACTTAAACCTTCTTTATGGTCTGCCTCTGTACAGATTCTGACGATTCCTGTGAAGGCTGTGATTGCAGTGGGTTCGCTGACTTGCTTTCCAAAGCATATGGTCCTTCCACCATCCTTCCCAGTAAGAGAGTTAATTCACCGACTTTTTCTTGCTCATTTTTTTCTTTACCTTTACCTCTGTGTTCCTCAGATTCCACAGAGAAATCAGTTATTCTTTGTTGATAGCTTATTTTAAGGTAAGACTTTGTACCAGGTTCTTTAGGAGATACAAAAAGGAGTAAGAAATAGTTCCTTCTCTCAAAAAACTTTCCATCTGGACTAGGAAATGGATCAGTAATTCAGAGATTTGAAACAGGTTGTAGAAATTACTCTAAGACGTCAAATACAATGCTGTGAGAGAAATACACACCTAATTGATGGAGGTGCCATGTGAGCTGGTTTAGAATGTCTTCTGGCAGGGATAGATTAGGGGTGGTGAGACGGCGCATTCAGGGCCTAGGGAACAACCTGAATAAAGACACAGGGGTGAAGTCCAAGATAGCATTAGTCAGGAGTAAGTTGGCCAGTTTGGCAAGAGTGGAGATGAAATGTTATGTTGGAGTGGTAGCTCTAAAAAAAAAGTGCAGTGAAATCCATGAAAATCTAAAGTTATTAAGAAGAAGATTGACAGTATCAGAGCTGAGCTTTGCGAATTGGCTCTTCGTCAGAAGTAAATACATTTGGAAGTAACAACAGAGTGCCTGGAGGCCAACCCAGGGACACTGGCAGCATCCACTGGAAGTGTGTGGGGGAGATTTGGCAGAGGCAGGATATTTCTTCCATACCTGCAAGCCTTTGCTCTTAGTCTGCCTTGAATGCCCTTCCTGCTCTCCTACCTTCAAAGAACTTCTTATCTTTCCAGATTCAGTTCTCTCATCTCCTTTCTAAAGATGTCTTGACTCTGCTAGACAGTACTAGTTGTTTTACGTGTGATCCTGAAAGGATTTGAAATTACCTGTCTCACAGCAAGCTTCACAGTGTACTGTTAATACTGCCTATGTATTGATCTCCCCAATGAGACTCTGAGATCCTCTAGGACAGGGATGGAGACATCTTTTATCCCCAGTGGCAGGTGCTTAGTAGATGGTGGATGGATGAAGGAGCAGAATGATGGAGAAGAGAGCATAGACATGAGACATTTCAGGTGAATCAGTTGAACTATTCTTGAATATCCTGATGGAGTAATTAAAGCAGGTGTGGTAGGATGGCAGATGAGGAGTCAAAAAAATGACTTAGAGTTTGAGCCTGGACAGTAGGAGAAAAGAAATGCAGAAATTGGGATGCCACTGCCTTTCACAGGAAGCTGATGCAATCAGTTCAGGGCACCTTGGGGCAAATGTGGAAGTGTCTTTTATTTTGTGGTAGGAGACATGGCAGGTTAAGAAAGCAGTACATTGCAAAAATCTTAATGCTTTATGTAATAAAACTTAAATTCAAACCTTACCTCCTTAAAAATACAAATTTTAAATTAAAAGGTGCAGCATATTCAAGGTTGGATCTTAACTTAAAATCTTTATGTTCTTGTTGTTCCACTTTGCACTGATCATACAAATCTCTTGAATTCATTATTTACCCAAAAGGACCTTTTCTTCCTTCACTTGCCTTTTCAATCAATGATCTCCTTAAACACTACAAAAATTCTACAGTAAATGAGGAAATATCTGTATTAAAACAAGGTGCTGCTTTTGAACTACTTTAGATTAAGCTTTCAGATACCTGTCTTAAGGTGGCTTACAGGTGCAGATAATTGCTTGAAATTACAAATTAATTTGATATTATTGTGTTAGGTGGGCTGCTATAACAAATTGCCGTAGACCGATGGTTTAAATAACAAACATTTATTTCTCACAATTCAGGAAATTAGAAAGCCCAAGATTAAGGTACTAGAAGGTTCTTCGTATGGTGCAGACCCTCTTCCTGGTTTTGCAGATGGCCGTCTTTTCATTGTATAATCACTGAGCCAGAAGAGAGAGGAGGAGGGCAGGTTCCTGGCTCTCTTCTTTTAATGGCACTTATTGATCCCATTTGTTAGGTTTCTGCCCTCATGACTTAATCACCTCTGAAAGGCCCAACCTCTTAATACCGTCACACTGGGGGCTAGAATTTCAACATAAATTTTAGGGGACCTATACATTCAGTCTGTAACAATTACCAGAGTCTCTAAAGAGAGTCTGTTATCAGATGGAGAATGGCAAAGCTAACTGAAAACAATACTTAGTAAACATTTCAAATAACTTGTAGTTTAATACTTAGTATTTGAATATTATAAAATGAGCTATTATATCTGCTATCTCTTTTGATCTTCACCATACCCCTGCAAGACAAGACACAGACATGAGAGAAATAGTTATTACAGGCACATGAAGACTAGGTAATTGCCAGAAAGCACAGTTGATTAGAGGCCACGCTGGGACTCAGCACAGGCTTCCTGCTTCCTGTTCTTCAGTCCTTACCATCTCAGCAGCATACCTTTCCTCTAATGTAATCTACTGCAGTTTACTGTGACTGAACTGTAAATGATGAGTGTTTGTCTTACCTTCACCATCATTCATCTCTTTTTCCTGTGCTTTTTCTTAATTACTGTATCTTAATACCAAATATAAGACCAGTGGCTAAGAACACTTGAGAGATTTATTCAATAGCTAAGAATCAGTTTATAAAAACAAAAAGTTTTCAGACAAAAGAAAGTAAAAGATTATCTCATTATTCTAACTAAGGATTATTTAAATCATGCAATTTATTACTTAAAATCTGGTACTCTATTATAGGAAGAAGAATGCTGCTAATAAGATCTCTTTACAAATTTAGGAAGTAGCAACTGTTGAAAATTCTACAGTCCTTTGAGCCTTGGTTTCCTAAAAAGACATCTGTTGGCTCTTAAGCTGAAGAAAATTCAACCATATTCAAATGAATTTGTTTGTTTTCTTTCTTCAGGGGAAAATAGTTCATCAAAGTTTAAGTATTATGAACTCCTTCTCACAGAAAGTAAAAATACAGCAAATACGATCTTTGTCAGAAGATGGGCGATTTTACTACAAACGATTACGGGGCAATAAGGAAGACTTGGAGCCAGGAAAAAAATCAAAGGTTTGACATACTATTTAAGAATTCCCATTCATGGGTGCTTCATTATTGTGACCTTCTATGAATTGGGAATTCATGATTCTTCTGTGCCTCTTTATAGATTGCAAACATTTATTTTGATCCTGGATTGCAGTGTGGGGATCATTGCTATGTTGGCTTGCCTTTTCTGTCCAAATGTAAGTTACCTTGCTTTTTTTTTCATTGCCTACAAAATATTCTTTAATGAAGACTGGTATTTTAAAAGTCCATCCCTATCTCTTGGGCTGTAGAAATCATTTCAAGAAAATTGGCAAATGAATTAGATGTAGGGCTCAGTATGTCATAACTTATGTTCCCTGTTTTAGCTGAATCCAAAGTGCAGCCTGGGGCAGCCATGCAGTATGATGCGTGGGATGCCGACTGGGATTTGCATCAAAGCCTTTTCAAAGGATGGATGGGAATAAAGGAAAACTCAGGTCATAGGTGAGTGGTTTTGCTTTAAGTATTTTAACTGTCTTTACAGGTTCAAAATGTCTCAGTTAATGTTACTTCCTAAATATTATGTTTATATTAGGTTATTTACTTTTCTATAGCTAAGAAAATATGCTTAGTCTTCAGGAAATTATTGAGGCATCTTGAATTGCCATTTTAATTGTATATTGCTCAAAAATATACATACTATCATTTTTCTTTATTCCATCACTCTAAATACTTCCTTAAGATCAAAGAAACAATTTAAAGTTGTGTTTATGTAGGATGACAACAATGTTCACCTTAGACACGTCCATTTGCATAAGGTTTTTACTTACTACTGAGCTCTGTTAAAGGCAAGGAAAACATGTTCTCGGTTTCTTTCCATAGTAGCAGATGCATGTATTTGGTCATTGTGAAATGAACCACCTCCTTTTCCAGAGCTGAACTGTTAGGGGTACATACATAGGGCCCATCTCAGAGGGCTTTCCATGTCTTTGTCAGGTATGAAACATGCTAATGACAGATCACTGCTGTACCTGTATTCAAAACAGAGACAGTACAGAAATTTAATCTTTTCATGTACTTTAGAAGAGAATTTGACTAGAATGATGATAATATGACACGTGATGAAAACTGCTGTTCTCAGTTGGCTAATTTAAAATTTGTCAGTATTATCAAGATACTGCAATTTTCAGTAATATAAAATTTCAAACCACTAATAGTTAAATCCAAAGGTTTCTGTTTATCTGAACTATTGGCCATACAAAGTTTTAACACAAAGAGAGTTAAATTTTTACTCTCAAATGATTAAAGTTAAGTACAAAGAGACTTGTAATGAACTAAAAGAACACTAATTAAAGCACTTGTTGGTCCCCCTACGTTTCCATAGTGGACATTGGAATGTATAGGCAGTCCCCAAATTTAACATTCAATTATGAATAAGTAACTTAGAGTGCTGCCCTAGGCTCAGCTGCCAAGGAACACTGTCACCTTCCACCTAATGAAGCCCTTGCCTTCTTCTTTGGGTGCCCAGCATTCCATTGCTAAAGACCAGGGCTCCTGATCTACCCTGTGCCTCTAGGTCCCATTTGCACCTTGCTCCTGCCTTTGTGTTTCCTTATCAGTGTGTGTGTTAGAATCTCTGTTAGTAGTCTTATAAAGCCTTTGCTCTTACCAATATTGGAATATCATAATTTGGTGTCATTTGGGGTTTAAATAGGCTTCGTTGTTTGGGTCTGGTGACCTTAGCCCCATTTATAATATTGTTTCCTTAGGAAGTATGTTTTGAGTTCTGAACAGCTAGTTTATAAACACTCATAAGTAGGGAAATATTTAAATGAGGACCTATTACTGACAACTTCACAAATAGCTACACAAAATCCTCCTGTGGATTACCTTCCAGCTGACATCTTCATTGCATATTAGGATTTTGGTTGTTTTTTTTTTTTAATACAAGGGGGAAAAGCCATATGCCAAGAAATGTACTGCCTTCTCCTTAGTTGTACTGAAAATGTTCTTAGCACCCAGGTCTTGGTGTCTAGGTCTTTCTACTAGGCGTGCAAGGTGTTTCAGGATCCCCAGAATGTGTTATGCATATGTGCCTTTTTCTTTACATATTCAGTGAAAAAAACAGTATGGTGATCAGTGGTACATATTTTGGCAGCTCTTGGTGCCAGAATAGAGACAACTTCATGTATGTCTGTAGGCATAGTAAAGTATTTAGAGTAAATAAACCTGTGTTTATCCAGAGCCAGATAAAATTACTCCACTACACAAGCCTGATAGAAAACTCAAATATTTCATTTTGATCCAGTAACTTGTAAAATTTTTTTCTAGATTGAGTGCTTTATTTGAAATAAATACGGACCTTCAAAAAAATATACTATCAAAAATCACTGCTGAGCTCTCCTGGCCTTCCATACTTAGTTCACCCCGGCACTTGAAATTTCCTCTAACTAATACCAACTGCTCTTCAGTAAGTATGCAGAGTGGCATTGGGTTTTGGAAATACATAATAGGGTTTGTAAAGTACCTGCTCATACTCATAACTTTGGGAATCTTTCATTTACTGTTTGGTTACTTTATTTAAGGAAGAAGAAATTACTTTAGAAAATCCTGCAGATGTTCCTGTTTATATTCAGTTTATACCCTTGGCTTTATATTCCAATCCTTCAGTCTTTGTAGATAAGTTAATATCAAGGTAAGCATTGCTTTAAGTAATCAAAATGTTTCTGTGTTAGCACGGAATGTTGCTTTACACATTTAAAACACTGTTGCAGCTCATAACAGTAATAGATTTAGCTTAAAGAAATTCTGAATCTGTAATTAAAGTGGAGAGAAGGTTCTGGGAAGAGATTCATGTTATGTTAAGCATATGGAAAAGCTTTCAGTTTAAGACAAGAAAAATTCATGTTGAACATCTTCATACAGATGGTGTAGTTAGTTGGAACATCATCATATACACACACCAAAAGGTTGCAGGTTTGATCTCCAGTCAGGGCACATACCTAGGTTTCATGTCTGAATTCCAGTCGGGGTGTGTACAGCAGGCAACTAGTCAGTGCTTCTCTCTGCACCCCCTTTTCCCCCCTCTCTAAAATCAATAAACATATCCTCAGGTGAGGATTAAAACAATTATAAAGAAAGCAAGTGGAACTTTCCAAATACTTTACTTTTAACAAGTGAACAAAATATTAACTCTTAAGTTGTGGCTCTTAATTTGTGAAGGCTATTAATCTGATAATATTGATCTCAAATCTGCCAAAAGACAATTTGCAAACAAAACATAACTTGATAATTACTGTATAACCCATTTAATTATGATGCTGCTTACAAAGAAAAATATATACGTTTTTATTTTAGGTTTAACTTGAGTAAGGTGGCAAAGATAGATTTAAGAACACTAGAATTCCAAGTCTTCAGAAACAGTGTAAGTATTTGAACTTTATACTATTCCACAGAAATAATTCTATGGTATGATCAGTGCACATGTGTCAGAAAAACTATTAACTGCTCTTATATTTGGCCAAAGAGCAAGTTATGAAAAGGTCAGTAAACTAGGTTCTAGAGGTAAAAACCCAGGCAGAATGGGTTGGATTTAGGTCGACATGAGGAACACTGGATAGAAGCAGCTTCCTGTTTGTAAGCATTAAATGTTAACCACGTGACTATTTATAATAACAGCTGCTAGAACTTCAGATACTGTATTGAGGTGTGTTTGTGTGTATTAGGTGCTCCAGCTACTATTGACTTCATGAATGAGTGATGGCCACAGTGTCCTGTGCTTAGCAGCACTGCTCAGCAACTGCAGACTCACACCTGCAGCTTCTTTATGGAATCAGTCCAGCCTACATCTGCTGTTCCTCTTTTCCTTCTGCCTTCTGTTTTTCCCAGCACTACTGCCTTTTGCAAAGAAACCTGCGTACTCATGATGTAACCGAAGTAGGACAGCTGTGTCATTTTTGTCTCTAGTGATGTTTCAGGCTTAATTTGCTCTAGGACCTACTTATTCATCTCTCTGGCAGCCAGCCACACAGTATCCATAGAGCTATCCAACACCATATTTCAAATAAATTCATGTTTTTCCTGTCAGCCTTCTTCACTGTCCAACTTTCATATCTGTACATAGTTATTAGGAATATGAGGTTATGTATGATCTTAGCCTTGGTCTCTAATGATACACGTCTTTGTTCTCGGTGATCTCTCTTAATTCTTCCTTTGCTGCTCTTCCTAGTCTCAGCCTTCTCTTGATCTCTTGACTGCAATCTCTATCTGAGTTGATGACTGAACCAGCAAAATCTTTAACAATTTCAGTGTCTTCATTGTCTATGTTTAAGTTGTATGTTCCTTCTGTAGTTATCATTCTTGTCTTCTTGATGTTTAGATGCAGTGCTGCTCTGGCACTTTCTTCTTTCCCTGTCATCAGAAGTACGTCTTTCTGTTGATAAGTTTGTTTCATGTGCATATCTGAAGTTATTGCTATTCTACCAGTTTTCAGTCCTTCCTCTGAGACTAGCCCAGTTTTTCATATATGTTCTGCATACAGAGTAAGCAAAAAGGGAGATAAAATGCACCCTTGTCTCACATCTTTACCTCTATCCATATTCGGTGCTTAATTACAGTGACTTCCTATCCACAATAAAGGTTATATATCAGGACCATGAGGTGTATATACTAATATAATTTATTTTTATGAAACCTCAAAATGTTGTGCTTGGTCATTAAAATTTTTATTTTGTATACTTTCTAATAAAATTGTAAGCTCCATGAATGCCAGACTCATGGCTGGCTGTTTTCATACCTTAGGACAGTAGCATAGTTTTCACTCAGGAGATACCCTTGAATCAGTAAATGTTTACATAAAATGATGTGTTTTAGGAACAAAATAATTCTCTATCATAAAGATCAGATGAGCAGCCACTAATTTTCTTATAAAAATTAGTGGTTTTATAAAGCCACTCATTTTATAAAGCCATAATGTGTAGGGTACCAGTCAGGAAATTAGCACTTGGAACTGAGGCCACCTACAAAATGCTGAAGTCTCTTGGTCTCGACTAACTTCATTCGGCCCTGCCAGAGAGCACATGCATTCCTGAAGATTCTGTTTGTGTCACCATGCTAACTGTGAAGCCTTCGCTGATGATGCTGTCTTAATCCTCCCTGACTCTTCCTTTACACACATGTTGACTGCTTTTTGTTCTCTTTTTGATGCATAATGACTTGTTTTTCATATCTGCTCAAATGCTGGACTTGTAGTTATCATTGGCAGAAAATACTTAAGTTGTTTTCCCTAAAGAGAAAAATGCACTGTATTTTCATTAAAATATCTACCAAACACCCCCATTTGAATAACCATAGGTTGCCTGTCACTCATTTTCTCAAATATAAATGATGTCCTATGAGAAAAGCAGTGAGTTCAGTTTGCATCTCAAAAGAGAGCTTTTTAAGACAACATGACATCTCAGTGTGCAGCAGTAGTGCTTTATGTATACTGCCCATTTCATCCCACAGAATGTTAAAAGGACATGTGCCCTGGGGTTGAGATTGATGGTTACTGTTGTTTAATCTAGAACTTGCGTCTGTTAATTTCATGTGCATGCAGCGAAGAATACAGTGGCTTCTCAGGAAGTTTGATACTACTGCCCTGCTTTGTGCCAAAGGGTCAGCAGATTTACCCATCATCATTTTTGCTGACCACCAGTACAAATGTCAGCGCACTGAAAAAGGCAGATCGTGTCTGTCAGTTTTGGGGAGATTGTTCTGACACCATGGATGCCCTGAAAAGATCTCTGAGATCCCCAGGGACAATGGGTCACTCTGTGAAAACCAGCACTACAAAATTACGGAGAATTTTTGAGGCCCTTAATGGTATCCCTGAGGCACCACAACATCTAAAGTATTTCCCAAATCATCAGAGTTTATATTAGCTAATGTTTGTCAGGAATGTATGATGTGGCCATCTATTACCCAGAATACTTTATTTAAAGGGGAACTTATTTACCATTTAAAGCAGTCAGAATATTCTTTTGCCCCACTAGACATTAATGGGAAAGAATATTAGACACAGGGGGAAAATGTGCCTCAGAAAGCAGAAGAGTTAAGAAGTAATGTGCTACATTAAGTCAGCGGACTTTAAGTCTTGTTTGTAGAATCATTCGAATGCAGGTAGGTAGATCTCTGTGTACTAACCCTAACTGCCAAGTAGAGTAGAAAAGCCATACAGAACTCCCTCTCCTTGCACATGATCAGAGCCAAGAAGAGCGTGGACACTCACAGCCAAGTGCTGCCAACCCTTCCCATAGAAACTTGAAACTTAATGTTATTTAAAAGTCACCACAGTATATCCTTAAGTGTGAGCTATGATTTTCTTTTTCTTTTTCTTTTTAGCTGATGTTACTTTTTATTGTGTAGGACAGGTGCAGAAAATGTGCTCCAGAGATGGTACATCTAGAAAGGAATTAAAAGAAAGAAACAAATTAGAGCCACTTAGCTATTTAGATGATGCTCCAGAAGCCTTCTCTGTTTGTCTCCTGGGACCAGCATACTAGGTTGAGGGAGTGTAAGTGAGAGGCAGTCATTTTGGCCCAGCCTGTCACATATCCTCAGTGCACCTCTGGCAGCTGGACTTCACCATGTAGATCTTGCCCAACCAAGGGACAGTGTATATCTGGAAAGAGCAGAGTGTTTTCTTCATCAGGTGTGGCTGGACATGGAAGGGACAGCTTGCCAACTTAGGGACTTGGCAAACAATTTCCACATCCAAGAATTAGTTCAGCCCGGCCACAACCTGCTTGCAGGCTTGTACCACCCACATGGCACAGCTGTGGGAGGGGTTGTTGCTCTCTTTGTTGTACTAGCTCAGGGCAAAGTTGAGTGCCTGCTGAATGCCCTCCTCATTGACATCCGCCTCTGTCAGGCCACTGGGCAGGAGAGGCTTGCTGGGGCTTGGGCAGGCTGCAGAGGCCAGGGCCAAGACCAAGACCAAGACCAGGTCCAGCAGAAGCAGCAGGGTGCACCGGAACCCTGCCATGGTTGGCTCAGTGGGGACTCAAGTTAGGATACAAAAAAGGCAAGGGGCAAGATCCAAGAACCACTTGATTTTCTTTCAGTTATGTGTAACTAGCTGTCGAGAAGTCATATTTTGATTATTAAACTAAGCAGTTCTTCCAAATTAAATCACCAAGTGTTTATGAAATGGTAATTATATGCTTAGCTTTCGAAATAAAAGTTAATGAGTGATATGAATTGGAAAATCTTTGCAAATAAAAAATATGATGTAGGTTATCACGGTTCAATTCCCAGTCAGGGCACATGCCTGGGTTGCAGGCCAGTTCCCAGCAGGGGACTCACGAGAGGCAACCATACATTGATATTTCTCTCCCTATCTCCTTCCCTTCCCCTCTAAAAATAAATAAATCTTTTTAAAAATATGATGCAACCTTAAGACCCTTTAGCAGATACTGCTCAGAGGGAGGAGCGGGACAGCAGTGACGGCAGGTGGAGAAGACTCTGGGGTACTGGCTGTTGGTTATGCAGCTGTTTGCTTTGTTTTGAAACATTGAGCTATTTATCTTAGGTTTGTGTCCTTTTCTGTATGTTATATTTCAAAGTTAAAAGATCTGTGTATAAAAATATGCCTAATACGAACACAAAGACTGTGGCACCTGTCCCCTTCAGTGCCCTGGGAATAAAGCCCATTTGGGGACTGAATCCACTGGCTGCCTAGCTCTGCTTATTGACTAACCAGTGTTTAAATCATGAGAGGTAAAGTTGTTTCCATAATCAACTCAAGAAGCTAGTAATATTGGGCTGCAGATGGGGTAAAGGAAAGACCATTTTTCCAGGGACTATATCAATGACTACTCTTTGTTACCCAATGATCCAAGGCTCACCCACTGCAGAGTTCAACAGGACTCACAGAGGGCCCCTCTCGACATTTTATCTTCAACCTCATTTTAAAACCTGGAGAAAAGAGGTCTGTCAGAGTAAAGTTTACTCCAGTTCACAACAGAACTGTTTCTTCACTAATCATAATCAGGTATGGTCTGTGATTTAAGTATGGGGTAATTTTTAGCACTTCTGTAGAAGTTCTTAATTGTTTCAGTATGAGTTTGCATATTTAATATCTGGAAATGGTTTTTTTCCTTTGCCCAAGACACACACACACACACACACACACACACAATGCATGATGAAACATTATTTTGTGATTACGTTTATAGCTAAAAACCATGAATAGTGTCTTACTGTGCCATGTATGACTTAAAAATTAAAAACTTGATCTTTCTGTAAATTTAAAAAATTGTTTAAAGTATACATGTCTGACTCTTAAATTTACTGTATTAATTTCTAAATGGTAGTTTATAAAATCATGGTAAAATTATACATCAAAGTATTGTGCAAATGTAATAGGAGAAAAATCTATAGTCCTTCACTTGATCTTAGCCAAAAAGCCGAGAGTGATGAAAAATCTGTGATTCTTGTTCTTGCATAGAAATAACCTGACCGTGATGGATGCTCTGATGGTCCAAGGACAAGGAACAACTGAGAGCTTGAGGGTGGCAGGCAAGCTTCCAGGCCCAGGGAGTTCCTTACGCTTTAAAATCACAGAACCATTATTAAAAGATTGTACAGATAGTGAGTATCACTAACAGTTCCACAGGCACAAACTTCAGCATTTGTTTTCAGCTGTAATTAATTCCAAAAACAAGAATGGCATTTCTGTCTGTGCATGTGTGTATATCAATGATGAATACTTCAGAGTTTTAAGGAAACACCCTGACTTGCTTTCAGGGTTGTTTGATTTGGATCTTAAAAGATTTAAAGTACCACCCTGGCTGGTAATAGCTCAGTGAATTGAATGTCAGCCTGTGAACCAAAGGATTGCTGGTTCAATTCCCAGTCAGGGCACATGCCTGGGTTGCAGGCCAGGTCCCCAGTAGGGCGCACAAGAGGCAACCACACATTGATGTTGATCTCCCTCCCTTTCTTCCTACCTTCCCCTCTCTAAAAATAAATAAATAAAAATCTACCCAAAAAAAGATACCAGTATTCATTTCATGCCTTATATGACTTACTCTAAGTGTAAAAGAGAAAGTCAAACTTTCGGTATCTGACAGGACATATGAAGTGGGGTACTTCCTGCTGATACCTGGATAAAATGAGGAGTTACTTCATAATCTCCATATGCATTCATGTGGAAACATTTATCATTTTGGACCTGGGGTACATGGTTGTAAGATTTATATTCACTCTGCATTTTTTTCCTTTAGGTTTGAAACTGAGAGAACCAAATTTCACATTGAAAAGAACATTTAAAGTAGAAAATACAGGACAACTTGAAATCCACATAGAAACTATTGAAGTCAGTGGGTACTCATGTGAGGGATATGGCTTCAAAGTTGTTAATTGTCAAGGGTTTGCACTGAGCGCCAATGCCTCTAAAGACATAATTATATTGTAAGTATTTTCTGATGAGGTATAATGAATCATTAGCTTCCCGTTAACTTTTTATACTAGAGTTGTTTAAACTGGAAAATGTTCTCATACTTAACAAAAAAAAAAAAGGTTTTTATCCACAAATGTATTTACTTTTTTTTTTCACTTTGTCTGGATATTTTTTTATATCTTCATTTTCAAAATTGTGAGACTTCTTCTGTCCCCAGAGTGGATCAGATAATCTTAGAAACCAGTTTCAGAATTACTTTCTGGGTTGTGTTAAAGCAGAAGGTATTGGTGACTATAAGTTCAGTCTCAGCAATAAAGGAGACACATCACATGTACAGTTTTTCCATGTTGTGCCATGTACGAATATGTAAAATAGTTTGTCAAAATAGTTTTAATTCTTTTATAAATAATAGTTACAGCATATTTTAACTGATAACTTGTTATGTTGTAAAGTTTATGTAAGAAAAATATAACCTTGTCCTCTTAATTGAATGACAGTGTCATGATCTTGAGTGGACACTGATGTCACAGGTCACTACATTTAGTACTCCATTGAAGGCACAGTGAGGAATAGCACACCTTTCCTCGTGTGCATGCACGTCATCTGGTTGGGGAACGTACCATTAACAAACATAAAAATACAATAATTGGGAACAAAGCAGTATTAGAAGACAACAGACAAAGAAAAGATCACCAGGGCTTAGATGGGGTTTTTTAAAGGCATTATTGGGAATGTATCCTGGGAGAACGGTGTAGATTTAGACAAAGGAGAAGGGAGGGGAAGGAAGCTCAGAGAGCACTTTCTGAATTAATAATTGCAGGGAACAGACTGTGGTACTTTTTATACCTACAGAATATAGTTGTTTTGTTATTAACCTCATGGGAAACAACTTTATCTTAAAATGAAGATGTTAAATAAAAGTATCAAACAAATTTCTTGTTATGTTTCAAAGGCATATGGGTCTGATACTGTGTTTAAACTGCTTGCAGTATATTTTTAAAGTTTGGTCTTAACTGCCATCATTCTGTTTTAGGTTTACTCCTGATTTCACAGCTTCTAGGGTTATTCGTGAATTGAAGTTTGTAACAACCAGTGGCTCTGAATTTGTGTTTGTATTGAATGCATCCCTTCCATACCATATGTTAGCAACCTGTGCAGAAGCCCTACCCAGACCCAACTGGGAGCTGGCTCTTTATATTATCATCTCAGGAATAATGAGGTACTTGTCTTCTTTTATAGTTTGTAGTCAGCATCACTTGACATTGTTCATCAAGTGCCCGCTGTGTGACAGTCATGTTCTGAGTGCTGGGGAACCTTCCACGAGTAGACAGTCAGGCTTACATACCTGCTCCACATCCAGTGGAAGCGGTCAAAAATGAGCCCTTTTTGGTGGCATATATGATCAGAGTTTGTCTGCCTTTGAAATTTGCTATATAAATTAAGTATATATTAATTCCTTAAAGGGGAAATTCCTAATTCATCATTATATTTGTTTGTGTTTCGAGAACCAGATATACTCACCTCTAAATTAATTTACATAGTTACTCCACACATCCTTTAAGGAAACAGAGTTGACCTAGAGTTAAAACTAAAAGAAAAAAGATAAAAGCTGTTTCTTGATAAAAGGAAAAGTATCCTTTAGTGACTGTTCTGATACAAATAATTATTTCCCCTGTATCAGCCTTAGTGTAAATTGGCATTCTGTAAAAAATGGTGTGCAAACTCTTACCCACAGTGCTTTATTTTTGTTTTATCCATTTAAAACTTTCATAGACATCTTTGGTTTTTTTACATCATATTGTACTTTGCCGAGAAACCCCACCTTTAAATCCAGTTTGGTCACTCCTGCACTGATGCACGAATCCTGATTCTCCCTCTCTGTCTCTGCAGTGCCCTCTTTCTTTTGGTCATCGGAACAGCCTATTTAGAAGCTCAAGGAATTTGGGAGCCATTTCGAAGGCGACTATCCTTTGAGGCCTCAAACCCGCCCTTTGATGTGGGAAGACCATTTGATCTCAGGAGAATCATTGGTATTTCATCTGAAGGAAAGTATGTTCACAGGCTGAAAATAGATTCTAGTATATATAGCTTTGGCTGATGTAAACAAAAGAAAAATAGCTTCCTCTTTCATCTTTATTGGGAGAAAAATCTTACTTTTAATTACTTAATAACACACTGTATGCAACTCTCAGTTACTAAGAACTTACAGCAAATAATCATGATTTCATTGTATTAGTGAGGGTTAAAATATTCTTACAGTGTGACTCAATTCCTAAATTTTCAAAAAGAATAGACCATATAGAGTTGTGAGAAGTATTTTCATTGCTTTCTTTTCCTTGGAATATTTATATTTGTGATGGCTTTACTGATGAAATAAATATTTTTATTTAAGATTTTCTAGATCACTGACAAAATCTTACTGACAGCACTTTGTCCTTTTTCAGCTTGAACACACTGAGCTGTGACTCCAGTCACAGTCGGGGGTTCTGTGGCACAGGTGGCTCATCATCCCGACCTGGTGCAGGGAGTCATAAGCAGTGTGGCCCATCCATCCATTCACACAACAGTCACAGCAGTAGAAACTCAGCTGACGCAGACAATGTCAGAGCCAAAAACAGCTCCAGTACCTCTAGCAGGACTTCTGCACAGTCTGCTAGCAAAGCAGGCCCCCTGGTCCTCGACTCAAATACAGTGGCCCAGGGTCACACAGCAGGCAGGAAGTCCAAAGGTACAAAACAGAGCCAGCACAGCAGCCAGCATCATGTCCACCTCACGTTGGAGCAGCAGTCTCCTCCTCCACCCCCACCACCACCAGTGCCTCAGCACCAGGAGCCACAGCCCGGAAGGCTGTCACCCACCCCCCTTGTACACCCTTCCCACTCAGAACGTGCCAACAGCACAAGGCACAGCTCGGAAGACTCCGACATCACCAGTCTCATAGAAGCCATGGACAAAGATTTCGACCACCATGACCCCCCAGCCCTAGATGTGTTTACAGAGCAGCCACCATCACCACTGTCAAAAAGCAAAGGTAAGCTTCTGTTCTCACTGGGGAACAGCACGCTGCATGAGGGGACAGCCAGTGCATGTCTCAGCAGCTATTGTGGTCAGAGTTGTGGTGTACTATAATTCAGTAGGTGTTCTTCTGGGTCAGATTTAGCTCCAGCATTGGACTTCAGCTTTTCCATGTCAAAAATGCAAGTAGAGGTAGCCATTTGTCATAAAACATACTTGTGTTTTTTAGATTACTGACCAAATTCAGAAATTTATTAAACATCTGCTTTTTTCCTTTCATCTGCCTGTGACTATCATATAATTCTGCTAGATTGAGCTTTTGTTCAGTTGTTTAAATAAATTTTTAACACAGTAGTAAAATGGAGATCATTTTAACTCAAAAAATAGTATTTCTTTACAACCTGTATTTTAGAACATGGGTTGGCAGACTACAGCTCGTGAGCCAGATCACCACCTATTTTTGTAAATAAAGTTTTATTGGCACACAGCAACATCCATTTGTTTACATACTGTCTGTGGCCACTTTTGTACTGTAACAACAGAGTTGAGTAGCTGCTACAGAGACTGTAGGAGCTACTCAACTGTCTAGCCCTTTAAAGAAAAAGTTTGCTGACCCCTGCTTTGGAGTTTTGCATACTCTATTACTTATCTTTTCCTTTGGAACAATGACTCACAATTTCTGTGGGTCAGGCTTTAGGGCGTAGCTCAATTGGGTTCTCTGGCTCTCAAAGGACTGCACTCAAGGTGCTGGGTAGGGCTGAAGGTGGATCTGTTTCCAAGCTCACTGAGGTATTCAGTGGCAGTATTCATTTCTTCACAACCTGTTGAACTGATGATTACAAATTCCTTGCTGGATATGGCCAGCAGCCTGTCATGGGTCCTCGTTATAAAGCAGCTCAAAACAGTTGACTTCCCCAGAGTAAGAATGGAACAAGGCAAGAGAGAAAACAAGCTGGCAGGAGAGAAGTCAGTCTCTTGTGACCTACTCCTGGAAGTGACATCCCATCTATTCTGCAATAGTCTGGTCATTAGCAATGTGGTCCTGCCCACAGTTCAGGAGAGAGAATTCTATAAGAACACAAATACAAGGAGGTGAGATCACTGGGAGCCATCTTAGAAGTCTTTATATCACACATACATACACAGGTAGGCTGATGGGTAACTTCCAAAATCAAAAGTAAAAAGCAGTAAATGGCCTAGCTGTATTTCCATTTAATCCTTTACATCCCGAACATTTTTGCATCTTCCTTTCTGTCCTGTATCAGCTGTCCCAATGCATGTTACTCCAAGCCTATTTAAGTACTTTTCTCATTAATGTACCAAAAAGGTTTACCTTTGGTTTTTACAGAAGGAGTGGGAACTCTGCAGCCATATGACAAAAAAAAAAACCCTGACATCCCCAGGGTTCATGAGTTTTCTGTAGAGAATTTCTTATTGCAATGATGTGAAGATAATTATATAGTGTCCTCTTAGAACTAAATGCATTTGGGACAGCAAAATTACAAAAGAACTGCAGAACAACCAGCATTCAGAACCACCTGAAATCTAGGTGAACAGAAGTCCTGCAACTATGGATATAAAGAAGGAACCACATCAAGACATGGAAGGGGCTAGTCCCACACTCATGTGGGGCAGATATTTTGTCTGCAGAGAAACCCCCCTGAGGAACAATGGGTCCCAGCTCTACACTAGGCCTGCTAGCCCAGGGTTCCAGTGCCAGGAAGAGGAACCCCCATAAATTATGGATGTAAAAACTAATAGAGATTGTGGTTGAGTGAGACAAAGGGCTTCTGGGAGTCCCAGGCAGTTCCTTTTAAAAAGTCTGTGCATGGACTTAGATTCACTCCCTCTGAGCTCCAGTGCTAAGGCAGCAGGGCCATATAAGAAGGAACTAAATAGTCTGGCATTCAGGCGCGAGCTGGAGAGACAGCTTTCTCCAAGACACAAATGCTGGCAGAGGCCATTGTTCCTTTTCTGAGCCCTCCCCTCACAGAACCAACAGGCTGGTACCATATCTGAGTCTCCAGCAATCTGGCTCACATTATTAGCCCTACCTGGTGAATCCCTGAGATCCCACCCCACTCAATGAGTGCCTACCCAACCTCTGTCCAGTCTGTCTTGATTCATGCTTCATACTTTCCTAAAATCTCACAAACAAGCAGCATCTGACTTTAGCATGCTCCCAAACTCTTGCTATGTAGCCTTAGATCTAGAACTAGACCAGCTGGCCTTGGTTCACAACTTGGCCTTTCCTGGGCACTTCCAAGACCCACACAAGTAGCAGCCATCTGCAGATAGTTTTGTTACTCATGCCATGCCACAGCTGACTTCGGCCTGCGTCTCCCAGGAGGCCACAGAGCCAGTGCACCTGGTGGACAGCTTCAGACCATATTGAAGCACCACCCAACCACCTCCACAAGTCACACATTCAAGAGATAGATTTGGTGGGACTCTGCATAGCTGATCCTCCATGGTGGTCTGAGCTAGTCCTCAAAGTCAGTCAGCCTGGGGGTAATTCCCTCCAATTGAATGTTAGTTGCAAACAGCAATCAAGGCTCAACTACCACAGGAAGTTGTATACAGCCCATAGTGAGTTGTACCTGGAGTGCCCAGTAGAGGTGAATGGGGAGGCTGTGCCACTGTACCCTACAGGAAACCTACTACAATAGGCCAAGTCCAGGAGACGTAGCAGCTCTACCTAATACATAGAAACAAACAGGGAGGCATCCAAAGTGAGGAGACAAACAGATCCCAAGTAAAAGAACAAGAAGAAGAGCTAAATGTAATAGAGGCAAGCAAACTAACAGGTACAGAGTTCAAAACCCTGATTATAAGGATGCTAAAGGAATTTAGTGAGAACTTCAGTAGCAAAGAAAAGGACATGGAAACCATAAGAAAAGAACCAAAGATATACACTAGCTGAAATAACAAATAATTTACAGGGAATCAATAGTAGAAAAAAATGAAGCCAAGAGTCAAATCAGCAATTTGGAAAAAACACCCAGTTAGAACAGCAAAAAGAAAAAAAGAATTTTAGAAATGAGGATAGTGTAAGGAACATTCACATCATGGAAGTGCTGAAAGGGGAAGAGAGAAAACAAAGTTAAAACCCATTTGAAAAAATAATGACAGAAAATTGATGAAGGAAATAGACATACAAGTACAAGAAGCTTAGAAGAGTCCAAAACAGAATGAACCCAAAGAGGCCCACAGCAAAACACATTATATGTAAAATGCCAAAGATTAAAGACAAAGAGAATCTTAAAAGCAGTGAGAGGAAAGCAGTTAGTTACTTAAAAGGTAGCTCCCATAAGACTCTAAGATGATTTCTCAAAAGAAACTTTGCAGGCCAGAAGGGAATGGCAAGAAATATTCAAAGTGATGAAAAACAAGGATCTACAATCAACATTATGCTACTCAGCAAGGCTATTATTTAAAATCAAAGGACAGAGCCCTGGCTGGTGTTGCTCAGTGGACTGACCTCCAGCCTGCAAACTGGAAGGTCTCCAGTTCAATTCCCAGTCAGGGCACATACCTAGGTTGCAGGCCAGGTCCCCATTTGGGGTGCGAGATGCAAGGAATCACACATCAATGTTTCTATCCCTCTGTTTCTCCCTCCCTTCCCCTCTCTCTAAAAATAAGTAAATAAAATCTTTTTAAAAATCAAATCAAATCAAAAGGTAGATAAAAAGCTTTCCAGACAAGAAAAAAACTAAAGGAGTTCATCACCACCAAACCAATATTGTAAGAAATGTTAAAGGGTCTTTAAGAAGAAGGAAAAAAAGATAAAAAATATGAATAGTAAAATGGTAGTAAATACATATATATCAACAATTGAATCTAAAATAAAACAAAATAAATGAACAGGTAAAACAAAAAAATTGTAATCCATTTGGTTTAATTTTGTGAGTGGTGAGAGATAGAGATCCAATTCATTCTTGTGGATATCTGTTTTTCCCTACACTGTTTATTAAAGAGACTATCCTTGATTGAGTAAAAAAAAAAAATAGTTTGTACATGTAGATTTGTAAAACAGTAACATATCTTTAGTATGTTAGTTTCTTCCACAGAAATCTTTTTCTTGTTATCTCATTAATAGAATTTACATATTTTAGGGTGCTTTTATAATATTTGTATAGTTTTTTAGTTAGATCAAGTTATCTAAGTGTTTTTTCCCATATTGAGGGAACAAATAGAATAAATGGATATAACCTGTTCTTAGCACAAAGAAAGAGTTTGGTTGTCAGATTGAATCCCTTATTGCCTGTGTCTGAGATAGTCCCCTAGCATCAGAAGGATAGGTCTGTTTTTATTTTCAAGGTCATTCATCTAGAACATAAATTTTAAAATTAAAGACTGTGTTTTAATTTTCACAGTGGGCCTAGAGCTGACCTATTAAAAGATATTTAAAGAGGGAGCATGGATATCACATTATTAGTAATTCCATGTGAACACAGTATTAGAGGCTGTACATGAGTGGCCACCCTGCCTATTATCCTTCCCACTGCTGCTATTTCAAAAGAATGAAAGAGCTAGGTCTTTTTTTTTAACAGTGTTTTCATTGATGTATAATGTACATACAGTACACCAGTCTTTTAAATGAACTTTGACAGGTGGGCATTGATCTGAGAGTTGCAGAATAGTGGTATGTCATAAAAGCTTTCTAATCCCTCTAAGCAGGAGTGTCCAACCTGTGGCCAGCAGGCCATATGTAACTCAGGATGGCTGTGAATGTGGCCCAACACAAAATCATAAATTTACTTAAAACATTATGAATTTTTTTTGTTATTACATGTCGCAGTGTATTTAATATGTGGCCTAAGACAACTCTTCTTCCGGTGTGGCACAGAGATGCCAAAAGGTTGGACAACCCTGTGAGTCTAAAGCTTACCCCAACCCCTACAAATAGTTATCATATTTACATTAAATATGAACCTTCTCTTTTCACAAGGACTCTGTTCTTCCTCCCACACCCTCAATATCTCAAAGAAAAAAAGCACAGTCTTGTAAATAGCT